GGGCCCGGGGGCAGAGGGCCCGGGGGCAGAGGGCCCGGGGGCAGAGGTCGCCGGCCCCGCCCCCAGAGGGACAGGGGCGGGGCGAGCGCGCCGGAGCCGAGGGGGTGGGACGCAGGAAGGGCTGGGAGGAGGTGAGCTGGGCGTTGAGGAGCTTGCGACTGCTGCTGTGGCCCGCGCCATGTCCGCTCGCAACTTGGGCACGGAGCTGGGTAAGGCCCCCGCGGGTTGTCCTCGCCCGTCTCCATCGCCTTCCGTCCCCCGCCCTCCGCCGAACGCGGGGCTCGCCGCCACCCGGTGCCCTGGCGTCGGCCGCCGGGAGTGCTCGACGGGGCGGGAACGGGTGGCGCCGCGTCCGCACGCACGCTGAGCAAAGGCCGATCCTCCGAGACTTAAACTCTTGTGCACATTGGCACCCAGGCCTTGTGTTGTAAGCGGAAGACAGCAAAGGATTAGACTTTCATCTTCCAACTTAATGCGTTCACCTTCTAGCTTTCTGGTTGCAAAGAACAAAACCAAACCAAAATACTAAAAAAACCAAAACAGAAAGCAACCCAAACAAAACAAGATAAAAACCTTCTGTACCCACTCAATAGGGTCCCTGTGCATGCTGGATTTCTGTAGATAATTTTAACACAGCTGTATCCCAAAAAGGCGTGCTGGTGGAAAAGTTGCCAGATCTCTGTACTGTAGAACTTACTGTAAATTGTGTATGATTTTAGAGGTACAGAGATTTGTAAGAGTGCCTGAATTATGTCAGTATTTTTCATTTAACTGATATTGTTAAATATTACTGGGTGAAAAGTTTAGTTCTGATTTCCTAAAATGTGAAAAATTTATAATTCAAAACGCAGCAAAACCATGATCGGAGCCGAAGGTCAAGGATCTCAGTTTAAGTATCATAGCTGGGGTATCTGTATCCTGGTTCTTCACTTTAGCTGTGTGACTTTGGGCAAATTACTTAATCACTTCTGCTTAAATTTCTTAATCTGTAAAATGGTTGTAATAGAACTTCATAGGGTAGTTTGGAGATCAAATGAGAGGATGTAAAGTGTTTGGTACATTGTGGGTACTTAATAAGTGTTAGTGAATAGTAATATTGTATAGAATTACATTTTTAGAGGTTAATTTTCAGAAAATTAGCTATGATTGTATATAACACATAAGGTGCTTTATTTTCTTTAAAAGTGACTGTTCTAAGTACTCTAGACTAAAAGTAGTCCAGAAATTTTGTTAAATCATTAGCGTGTGATTTATAAAGACACTTGATTTCTTCATCAAATTTATTCTCTTTTAGTCATTGCTGTTTAGAAGATTATGCCTTATTTATATATTTATGTATTTATGTATTTATTTATTTATGTACTTATGTATTTATTTATTTTTGAGAGAGAGAGAGAGAGAGAGAGAGAGAGAGAGGCAGAGCATGAGAGCAGTAAGGGAGAGGCACAGAAAGAGAGGGAGACACAGAATCCAAAGGAGGCTCTGAGCTGTCAGCGCAGAGTCCGACGTGGGGCTCAAACTCATGAATTCTGAGATCATTACCTGAGCTGAAGTCCCATGCTTAACTGACTGAGCCACCCAGGTGCCCCAGAAGATTATGTTTTAAACTCTAAAAATAAATAAATAAATAAATAAATAAATAAATAAATAAATAAATAAA